CGATGAGGCAAAGAAGGAGGAGAATGAAAGTTTGAGGGGGATACAAAACATTTTTTCATCAGCATACTAACCAGCAAACGAGCAAAACAAGTTTCTTTCGTCGCTGATTATTTTTTGATAGTTTTAAACGAGGATTGAATGTTTCAGCGTCCTGAAGAGGAACGACTGTGAACTTGATTCTTGAGCGTCACTAGTCTTCAGCTCCCTTCTTGATCAACATGGTTCAGAGGTCCTCTTTTCCCTCTTCCGCTCTGCTCTCGTTTTCCCTACTCTCCTCTCCTCTCCTCTCCTCTCCTCTCCTCTCATCTCCTCTCCTCTCCTCTCCTCTCCTCTCCCCTCCTCTCCGTACATGACCTCTCCTCCCCCAGGCGCAAGGAGCAGCAAGAGCTGGAGGCAGTGGAGGCGATTCAGAACATGGAGCGGGCGCACATGAAGGCAGCGGAGGAGCTAGAGTCTCTGTACGAGAAGAAGCTGGCCATGGAGGGTCAGAGGTACCGCGCGCTGCTGCACGAGAAGGAAGACATGGAGTGCTCGTACGAGGAGCAGCTGGAGATCACCAAGAGCAAGTACAACTCGGTCATCATGAAGCTCAAGGCGGAGTACGAGAGCAAGACGAAGGAGCAGCAGGACGCGTACAACCGTCTCAAGGAGGAGCTGGCCAACACCAAGGCATCGTACGAGGAGTTTGTACGGCAGCAGGACGAAGATCACGAGGATGAGGTGCTGAAGGTGCAGCAGAACCACAGGAAGGCGCTTGAGGAGGAGCAGGAGGCGGTTTTAAACCTCAAGAGCCAGTCGGCGATCATGAGGAGGAAGTTCGACACGCACAAGGGGGAGATGGAGACGCTGAAGACGCAGCTGAAGCACAAGGAGGACGAGCTCAGGCAGGCGAACGAGAAGGGGGAGGAGCAGGAGCGGCAGATTCAGATGCTCAAGAACGACATCAGAGACAGGGAGCAGACGATTGACAACAAGGAGAAGAGAATCAGCGAGCTGAGAATGAAGGCCAAGGAGCTGGAGAAGATTAAGTTTGTGCTCGACTACAAGTACAAGGAGCTGAAGAAGGAGATCGAGCCCAAGGAGACGCAGATCATTCACATGAAGGAGCAGATCAAGGAGATGGACGAGGAGCTGCAGAGGGATGTGAGGACGAACCATGCTCTCGGACAAGCTCTCAACGACAAGGCCCACAAGATCGACAACCTCAACATCGAGATTAAGAGGCAGCGCGCGATGGTGCAGGAGAAGGAGAGAGTGATCAACCTGTTCCTGTCCGACCTGGAAAACTCGTCACGGAAATCGACCCCTCCTACTGGCGGGACGCGATCCGGCAGCTGTATCGCTCCTACGTGAAGAAAGGCGCCAAGGAGCAGGGAGCGAGGGACGTGCCTGACAGCATGGACGAGTTTGCACGACAGCGAGAGCACATGGAGAGGTCGCTGGAGACGCTGAAGCGGAGGGCGGCCAAGAACGAGGAGGCGGTGAAGATAAACAATCAGAAGAAGGCGACGGAGAACGCTGTGCTGATCGATGAGCTGAACGCGCTGAGGAGGGAGAAGCGGCTGCTGGAGGTTAAGGTGCAGGAGCTCACGTCCGAGGTGCAGGTGGGTACGAGAAAGAGGAAGGGCAAGGGGGACGAGGAGCCGGCCGATGTTACCGCTGCCAACACTCCTGCTCCTGCCGTCGACGTCTCCTCCTCCAAGGAGCCAGCTGTCAACAGCCGCCCAACCTCCAACAGGAGGACGAGCCCCAGGAGGAGGAGGAGGAGGAGGAGGAGGAGGAGGAGGAGGAGGAGGTAGGA